CATTGTAGATTAATACTAAAGAAATCAAAACTATGAAAGAACACATATGGAATTATGCAGTAAACAATTAAGTGTTAAACAAACGAGAATATGTTTTATATTGTAGACTCTTCAAAGTCCTTTTTGCTTTGATGGCAGCTTTGCACATTGGCATTCTCTCAATCAGCTTCATGAGGTAGTCTCTTGGAATGGTTTTGAATGAACAGGTGTGCCTTGTCAAGAGTCAAACTGACTCTTGACAAGGCACACCTGTTCATGGAATTACTTGCCTTCTTAATGTATTTGAGACCATCAGTTGTGTTGTGCAGAGGTAGGGTGAGTACACAGTGGATAGCCTGCTATCGATATATGACAACTGCTGTTGTACTCCACAGTATGGAAAGAACCACTCAACTCAGTAAGGAGAAACAATTACTTTAAGACATAAAGGTCAGTCAATCCAGAAAATTTATCCGGAAATGTAGGGAGAAGGAGATTTGCTTGGGTCAAGAAAAACAAGGAATGGACATTAGACCAGTGGAAATCTGCACTTTGGTCTGATAAAGCCAAATTTGAGATTTTTGGTTCCAATCACTGTGTGTTTGTGAGACACAGAGAAGGTGAGCGGATGGTTTCTGCATGTGTGGTTCCCACCATGAAGCACGGAGGAGAAGGTGTGAGGGTGCTTTGTTGGTGACACTGTTGGTGATTTATTAAACTGCATGGCTGCCACAGCATTCTGCAGCACCATGCCATCCCATCTAGTTTGCGCTCACTGGGACCATCATTTGTTTTTCAACAAGACAATGAACCCAAACACACCTCCAGGCTATGTAAGGGCTCTTTGACCAAGAAGGAAAGTTATGGAGTGCTGCGTCAGATTACCTGGTCTCCACAATCATCCAAACTAAACCCAACTGAGATGGTTTGAGATAAGTTAGACTGCAGAGTGAAGAAAAGACAGTCAGCAAGCGCTCAGCACTTCTGGAAAGTCCTTCAAGACTGTTGGAAAACCACTCCAGGAGACGACCTCATGAAGTTGATTGAGAGAATGCCAAGAGCGTGCAGAGCTGTCATTTTCAATTCAATTCAATTTTATTTGTATAGCGCATATTTACAACAAGTCATCTCATAGCGCTCAACAAAGGCAGAAACACCCAACAATCCAAAACGTTTGGATTCCCTATAAGCTTCAGCAGTCCGCAAGCAGTCTGCAACAGTGGGAAGGAACCGAAAACCCCCGCAGGGTAAAAAAAAACCTCAGACAGAACCAGGCTCAGGGGGGGACGGCTATCTGCCTCGACCGGTTGGGTGGGTGTGGGATGAATAAAAGCATCAAAGCAAAAGTGGGCCACTTTAAGGAATCTAAAATATAAAACATATTCTGAGTTGTTTAACACTTTTTTGTTTACAACATAATTCCACATGTGTTCTTTCATAGTTTTGTTTCTTCAGTATTAATCTACACTGTAGAAAATAATTAAAATAAATACAATCCACTGAATGAAAAAGAGTGTTCAAACTTTTGACTGGTACTGTATGTGCAAGTTTAGCTTCTTGCATAAGTTGTTCCTTAAAGGATAGTGTATATAACTATATTTTACTAAGCACAGCTATTCTTCTACCTTCCCAACTAAAGAGCTGAAGTTTAAAATAAATTGTAGAATAGTTTTAAGTGCATGTTGTGTATTGATATGGAAAATCCACAATTATTTAACCAGAGTGAATTTACTTGCTGCACTTGCGAGCTCCAGGACAACTCTGGATGAGGTTCTGTATGGTGGGATGAGAGAAGCCAAAGAAGTCCGCTCCTGATGGTACAATCGGAGCGACAGACTTGCAACTACGAGAAGGACATTTTGAGAGAGTTCATTATTACATTAAATAAAGTTGAGTTAGCTGTGGAAATCATTTGCCTTGGACATGTGGTTGGCTTTTGCTGGACTAAAACTAAACCTGAAAAAACAAATCCTTTGTCAAATAACAATAATAAGTACAAGGTGTTGTGGTGAAAGTTGCTACCTGACAGATGCGATAGCCTTCAGGAGATTGGAATGGCACTTCAGGGCAGAGGAGGCCACAATGGCGTTCTGAGGATCTTCCTCTGGCACTATCTCAAACTGGAGGTAGAGGTGTTTGAAAGGTTTAAAGTACCATTTTCCACAAACTCCAAATTCCTTCACAGTAATTTGTTGCATTTCATATCAATACAGCTTAATTGCAAATGTATATGTATAAAAGTATTTTGATATGACTACTTAGATCTGAGCAGGCAAAATTTTTTCTTTACAATTTTTAAAAATGCTTGTATGAACACGCATACAAGGTTCAGGAGGTGATGATGAGAGACAATTTTGCTAAAATGACCACAACTGTGTTGTGTGTACCTGTGGACCTGCTCCCCCATCCTTGATCTGGCAGGTGTAGAGACACTGCTGGTCAGGGTTTTTCATGCTGGCAAAGATCCGTGTGCTGCAGAATCCCACTGGGTAGATGGCACACTCATCATGGAACAACATTCTGTCCGTGATGATCTGAAGAGCAGTCAAGTTTTGCAGTTAGTAAAATACATTGAGCAGTTAGTGTCAGCTTTAATAGAGAGAAATTTTTTCACACTTTTTCATGTCATAGATTTGATTGTTGTTTTTTTAACCATCACTCTGTGCTTGTGACACCTAGTTCAAGTAATCATAGCAAAAGGAATTCAGTTTGAAGGATTACCATTACTGTACTCTGGTGTTTACAAAGTGACTACCTGTGATTGACATCACTGACCTCTCCCAGACTGTAAACTGTTAACCCTCCCAGTACGATGGGAAAGACAGGGCGACCAGATGAGTCGAGGGGGATGGGCTGCACCAGCTTCCGAGACCCGTCTGCTAGCTTCCTCTTCTTAGACATCTTCTTTGGAACTAAAAGCGTAATTTTAGTACAGCTGAAGACTCTATGTCAACATTGATCATTTATGTCTTCATAAACAGTTGAAACCAGAAGTTTACCTACACTACATAAAAAGATATAGAACCTTTTTTTTTCTCACTGTCTGACATTAAATCAGACTAAACCTTTCCTGCTTTAGGTCAGTTAGGATTACCAAAATTGTTTATAATTGNTGTAAAGTGCACCAGTACCTCCTGCAGCAAAACACCCCCACAACATGATGCTGCCACCCCTGTACTTCAGTTGGAAAGGTGTTCTCAGGTTTGCACGCGTCCTCCTTTTTCTTCCAAATATAACAATAGTAATTATGGCCAAACAGTTCAATTTTATTTTCATCAGACCACAGGACATGTCTCCAAAACCTAAGGTCTTTGCCCCGTGTGCATTTGCATACTGTAATCTGGCTTTCTGTTGAAGTAACAACAGCTTCTTCCTCTCCGAGTAGCCTTTCAGCCCATGTCAGTACAGGACTCGTTTCACTGTGGATAATGACACTCTCTTACCAGCTTTAGCCAGCATCCTCACAAGGTCTTTCACTTTTGTTCTGGTGTTGATATGCACATTTTGCACCAAAACATGTTAGTCTCTGGGACACAGAACCCGTCTCTTTCCAGAGCAGTATGATGGCTGGACATTCCCCATGATGTTCATACTTGCATATAAATGTTAGAACAGGTGAATGTTGAACTTCAGGCATCTGGAAATTGTATCCAAGGATGAACCATAAACTGTATAAAAGATGGACATAGCTACCGTGACGTCACCCGTTGGTTTCTGCACTGAGAAAATGAAGCCAGGGTTTTGCTGCTTCCTGGTTGACATCTTGGATTTTTGGAGCCAGTGACGCAAAAATCCTCAGAGGGGGGCGGAACCATAGGAGCAGCGATTGGTCAGACGGATTGAGAAGCAGGCCCTCTCTGCCCGCCCACATTTACTGCCTTCTGCTCGCTTCATCTGTATGCCGACTGTCAATCAAGCCAGCCACGCCCCTTGCCCCACAAAATGTTGACGAGTTTTAAAAAATTCAGTATTGGTTTATTTTCAGATTGGCCACCTGATCTCTGGACTTGACCATGAAAACTCTTTTTTTTTTAAAATCCTGAGCTGTAGGAATGCGGTATTTGGTGATCTGTGATCACTTCTTTTCCAATTCATTTCTATGGGAGCCAGGGCTTTTTGGAGCCAGGACTAGCGGATGTAGTGATATTGCAGGTTTTTGACACTTCCGGGTTGGCTTCATTTTTCAGGGCCGGTTGCTACGTCCATCTTTTATACAGTCTATGGGATGAACCAGACTTGTGGAGGTCCACAATTCTCTTCTAGATATCTTGGCTGATTTCTTTAGATTTTCCCATGTTGTCACAAAAGGAAACAGTGTGTTTGAGGTGTGCCTTAAAATACATTCACAGGTGTGCCTCCACTTAACTCAAATGTTGTCAGTTAACCTATCAAAAGCTTCCAAAGTCACAACATCATCATCTAACCTTTCCCAAATAGTTTGAAGGCATCGTAATTTTAGTTTATGTAAACTTCTGACTTTGAAGAAAGTAATAAAAAAAATCTCTAAAAAATGATCTTTTTCATTATTCTGGCATTTAGCAAAACAAAACAGGAAAAGTTTATTCTGATTTAATGTCAGACAGTGAGAAGAAAAAAAAAAACGTTCTGGTTTGCAACTGTATATTTAAAAGACCTGGGATGTGCTCCGTCTTGATGTTCTCTTCAAAGCCCTGGTGTCTCTGGTAGGCTTCAAAGTTGACTGAGGCGTCGTCCTCTGATAGGTTGTGAGGAACCTGACCATCACCAGGACGACACACCTCAAACCGAATCCATCTGTAGCTAAATAAACACAATTTAAAAAAAAAAAA